CCTTCATCTCCACAAATTAGTTTTCAATCGCTCTGATGGAGCTGAAGCCAATGCCCATCACTCAGCTCCCTCTCAGCCCCAGAGGGTCATCCCCTTCTTAGAGGAGTTGCAATCTCATGTCGGTCAGCTGTGTGCCGAGACACTGCGACTGGAGAGGAAGCGTCACCTCTGGCTGCACCAGCTGCTGTGTCTGCTGTCAGTGTATAGGGGTCCCAGCATTGCCACCGAGGCCCTCTGCCAGCTCCTCACACAGGCCCGCAACCCAGAGGAGCTGGCTCTGGCCTGGCAGCTCCACACCACCCTATCCTCCTGCATGGCAGGACTCATTCCTGCTGCTGTAGCCCGCTGTGTGGCCCAGATCCATACGCACACCCTGGGGCCCCGACAGCTGAGGCAGCTGCTGCTTAACCTGGCTGCAGCCATCCAGAGTCAGGATGAGGAGAGAAGAGGAGCAGCAGGTGCTCAATCCTCCATGGCCATCCAGGTGGGCTCAGCGGTCTCAGGACACCTCCATGACTTTGGCCCTCTCCTTCTCCACGGGGACCCGGCTGTGTCTCACGCTGCAGTGCGCCTCCTGTCCTGCAGCCCGCTCCCTCGAACCTCCTCCCCAGCTCACCTGCTCCTGCTGTCCCGTGCTGCTGTTACTTATTTCTTTCTGGCACTGAGGAGGAGAGGAGAGGCGGGGAAGGTGGGTAGAGATGGAGGGCAGGCAGCAGAGGCTGTGAACTGCTCTGTTCTGCTTCTGTCCCGTTTTGCAGCGTACTCTCCTCTTACTCTGAAGGCTGTACTCCAGCAGCTGGTCGAGGGAGCGCTACATAAAGGCAACGCTGACCTGTTTGGAGGGCAGATTGCAGACATGTCTGGTGCCCCCGTGCTTTCCCCATCTGTGTCCCCCGACCTGGGAGCCTCTTTGCTGGATATCAACTGTCGATTTGGAACCACCGTTAATTTTTCTGGTAGTGTGTGGTCTGTGTTTCATGCAGGGGTGATTGGTAAGGGACTGAAGGTTCGCGGTGTCGCACAGCTGCCTGACCCGTCTGGGGTTATCCAGGTAAGACGTGAGAACTTTTGCTAAGCAGATTCAAGATTCCAGCAGTGGAGTCAAAGCTATATACCAGTTAGAGAAGTGATATTTTTCCATATAAAAACTGCAGATTTTGAATGTAAATTTGATTCCGTTATTTTAACAGCACCTGAAAATGAGTGCAGATTGTAGAAACTGTGTACAAAGTTAATGTAAGTGTATTTGTATGTATTTTGTGCTGCAGCAGTGAAGACTCACAATGTTTTCTTCTCTCTGCAGAACATCCAGACTCTGCTGGCTGTTATAGTCCAGTGTTGCAGCTCCTCTGGTCTCAATGGCTCCATCAATGGCTCACGATCGCTGTCTGACCCCGACGAGCCACTGCCCATCAACGCAGAGGCAGCAAAGGTTGTTGCAGTCACACTGGTGGAAAACGTCTGTCCAGATGTGGCCAATGGCGAGTTGTCCTGGCCCCCAGAAGAGCACGCTCGCACCACAGTGGAGCGAGACATCCACATTCGCCGTTGCTTTGAGGCCCACCCAGTGCTCTTCCCTCTTCTTCAGGTGGTGGCAGCCGGACGCCCGGCTCTCTGCTACTGCTCAGCTGTGCTCAGGGGCCTCCTGGCCACTCTATTGGCCCACTGGGAGGCGTCCCGTGAAGTGTCATCCACAGACTCCCCGTGGCACCTCCAGGCCTCTTGCCTTTTGGTGTCCTGCATGGGAGAAGGCCAACTCCTGCCCCCTGTGCTGGCCAACGTTCATGAAGCTTTCCGCCACCTCACTCCCTTCGAGGTGAGGCTGCTGCTCCTGGCTGTGTGGGAATACGTGAGAGGCAACGCGCCCATGCCCCAGAAGTTTGTCTTCAGCTCAGAGAAGGGCCTGTTCTGCAGAGATTTCTCACGGGACGGTGACGTGGCGAGATACGTGGCACCGATTCACAGCGTCCTCCACAAAAACATTGACAGACTGGGGCACCTGTGCTGGCGCTTCCAGCTCTGAGCAGTGGTGTCAAACAAACTGTGAAGAGCAGGTGACGGTGAATAAATACAGACTGCAAAACAGAGGGAATACTGTGTTACATCGCTCCAAGAATGGACTGCAAAATTCTGTCGCTGTAGTTCAGTTTCATACAAGTAGAGCTGTGTGCATGTGTATGTGTAAACCTTTTGTACCGTATTTTTAGACTTTATACGTTTCTAACTAGTTTCTGTGAGAAAGACAAGAGAAAAGGCACACATGTATAATATGTTAATACAGAATTAGCTCTACACAAAAGAGCCCTAACGTGTCATTTTTGCTTAAAAATTACAACTTAACTCTGCTTTCATCAGTTATGGATTGTTTTGTATAATTTCAGGTTGTTCGGCTTCTAAAATTGTGGCTACAAACATGCTTTGCATCTCTCAAAAAAACTTTCAACCACTTTACAAAATAAATCTTCATATGTTCCCAAAAAGCAGCTTGATTTTAGTGTCCGTTGTTGAAGAAATTTTACTCATAGTCCTCATGTGAAGTTTGCTGTAGTGGGTGTTTATTAGTATTCCGGTATACGGTGGGCTCACCAACACAGAGCATGAGTCTGTGAAGGTGGACCGACCCTGAGCATCTGCAGAGTCACACATTTATAGGGTAAGTCAGAGGGTAGAGGGGGGCTGTATGTAAATACAGAGGTGAATAGAGGTAAATTAACATACAGTTGCTAATCAAATGGCAGGAGGTAAGGGGGGCAATGAACAACAGGGGGTGGAATCGGGTGCCTGTGACAGGAGGTAGGAAAACACATGACAAAAGGTGATGGGAAAACACATGGCAACAGGGAATGAATTCAGGGGTCTTTGACCATCACAATAAAAGAAAATGGCTTTCTTCTTCACCGTGTTAATGCTGAAATGTATCATCACAGGACACTGTAGGTCATTAAAGTGAACATCACAAAGTCTTTTTACAGAGCAAACACTCTCAGAGATGGTTTCCATTTTCTGTGACCCACTAATATGAATCACTAACATGCAGGGGATTAACTTTTTTAAAAAGTTGTGTATAAGTTTTATGTTACCAGGTAAGTCCTACTGGGGTTAGCAAGCTGTTTTCAAAGGAGACTTGACCAGGACCAGTTGGAAAGATAAAATGAGCTAAAAACAAAGACTATTAGAAAAAACATCATTCACAACTGAATTTACAATCGTCTTGAATTCATTTAGGAGCAGTTCCTCTTTCTTGCAGTTTGTTGAATTCCAATGCATTTTAGGGGCCGCTGAAGTAAAACTATATATCACAAGAAAAAAAAGCAAAGAATTGTTATTTTTTTAAAAATATTTTCTCCTCTGGTAATCTTCTTGTTACCCTTTAGAAACACTTTCTCAGCACCCCTGAACAGAGATTAAACTGAAAAGTTGAAACTTATGCACATTATAATGCATTAGCCTTTATATGTTTTCACAGAAGCTTATACTAAGACACTTCAACACCACAATCAGGTGCCTTAAAAATTACTATAGAGTTGATTTTTATGTCAGTGGGCCTGACTCTTTTTGTTTTAAACTAATGTGATGGTTGTCCACATGTAATTCCATATCACAAGTCACATCTTTAGTGAGGTTGATCAATCAAAAAGTAATATTCTTCCTACTACACTCCGTCCCTTGTTGATTTGCCCCCTAAAAACTCATTTCTATGTATCAAAGATTTTTTCCTGTTTCAGTTTTCATCTTTGTGGCTTCTCACAGTCAGATTTTTCCATTTTTCCTTTGTCAGTTTCTTCCCATGTGAAGCCACAGTGCAGACAGACTGAGAAACTTTGCAGCTTGTTTTACAACCATGTTGGTTCAATTAGGCCAGCGGTGTCCAATCCTGGTCCTCGAGGGCCACAGTCCTGCATGTTTTAGATGTTTCCCTCTTCCAACACACCTCAAATGATCAGCTCATCATCAAGCTCTGCAGAAGCCTGATAACGATGCTGCTCATTTGAATCAGGTGTGTTGGAAGAGGGAAACATCTAAAACATGCAGGACTGTGGCCCTCGAGGACCAGGATTGGACACCCCTGAATTAGGCTGATTGGAAATCACAGATGTTCTCAGTTTTGTGTCATTGATCACGTTTTCCAACCTGTGAGCCAGTGATCACAGGTGTTTTCACTTTTGTTGCCTTGAGGTTCAACTCTGGGGCCTGCATTTTCAAAGTAGTCCTTACAAGGTATTTGCTTGTTTCTAAATGTAGTTTTTGAGAAGTGATGCGTATCTGAATCATTTGACATTATTATTTTTTAATTGTATGGGGTGTAGTATAAAGATCGTAAACTGGTTATTCTGAACACTGATCCTTGAGAAAGTGTTGTGATTTATTGGTGTGGCTTGTGTTGACTGTACACGTGTGAGCTGCGTTTCTACATTGCATTGGCTGGAAATGGATCCAGTCAGACAAATCCAGGCCTAATGTGTTCTTCCCTGACTGGAGCCTGGAGATGACGTGTCCGCGCCTGACAGGAGAAAAATCTAAACCAAGTTCACACACATGCTCGTCTTATCACTAATTATGTTATAAGATAAGAGCGCGATTAAATGAAAATCACTCAGTAATGCAAATGGCGTTATTAGGATAAATTAATTCACAATATTTTAATCAGTTAAAAGAAAAATCTCATATATTTCGGTGAGTTGTTGAGGATCTTACTTTTTAACGATCTTTGTTGCGGAGTCAAAGGGGGCGGAGCCAAACGGCAGCATAATCAAGATGGCCACCTTCACTGAAAGGTAAGACAAAGCAGTTCCGCTGTTTCATTGCCTATTTATCAGCGGTTTAAATTTAGTATCTGTGCGCAGAAGGGCTCAGACTGTCGCTGTGGATGTATACTTAGTAAATCTGAAAGCAAACCCACTGGTTCGGGGGGTTTAACGGCCGCAAAGGAGAGTCATACTGGAAAAGTCGAGGTCCCCCCCCCCACACACACACAATTGAATTAACGGCTTGATAGGCTGCCTGGTGCCGCCGCCGCTGCTAGCAAGGTTAGCCCCATATCTCCATCCAGTGAGGTAATTAACGGTAACGCCGCGGTAAGACAGTGTTGTATTAATGTGTGTGTAAAAGAACGACGTTTTACTGGCGTCAAATGAATTACTGTTTCCCGTTTTCTATCGTATTTCTCTGTAATCGGGAGCCAACATTAAGCTAGCTCGCGTTAGCTGACATGTTAGCTAATAAGGTCTCCTGGCATCGCTCCAAGCACATCAGCCGGATTTGACAGGAGTACGAGGACTCGAAATTAGTCTTTACGTGAAGGTTTAGGGACTAACGTGAAAAACGGGCCTATGGGCGTTCTGTTAAATGATAGTGTGAACGCTGTAGCTGCAGCAGGATGTGGAAACGGGAAACGGCTTAGCTGCATGTGACATTTTGTACCGCTGTCTTTCATTTGAGGACATATTTTGCCACCACAGAGAGATCAAAGTCCGGCTGCGTAACAGTGAACACGTTTACCTCCTATGTACATACGATAGTTTGGTTGGGCAATTAGTTAGGTATTGCTTCAAAGAGGCGTTCTGAGGATCTAGAAATATTGGGAGTTCACCCCAGTTTTTAAAGATAATAAGATTTTAGCCTGATAATTGCACCATTTTCAAGAGCAAAATAAATTTAAAATGTGAGACCCTGCACACTCTGCAGTGTAGGGTCATCCCATTTTCTTTCTATGCTTCGCCCCTTAGAATTAGTCTGATTTATAGTTCTGGTCTGGGAGTGAAGCTAAGGTCTCTGGTTTAGATGTGAGACAGGAAGGAACTACTCAGTATTATAGACAACACCTCTTATCCCCTGTAAGCCACACTGGTATCACATCAGAGCAGCTTTGACTATCCTAAGACCACCGAGCAGCGGCACAGAACGCCACAGGAGGTCTTTTCAACCAGTGGCCATCAAACTGTGTAAATCCTCCCTTTTCTGCAGAAAGGACAGCAAGAATATTGCAATATCAGAATCATTTGAGATGCTACTTCTCTGTAGTGTGTTCAACATCACTTTCAGTATGGTATGCAATATGTCAATTTGCTGTGAAATATTTTGTCACAGTGTCCAGTATGTCATTAACACATGCAATTTTTCATCATCATTTGCAACATTACTTTAGTACATCAGTATCTTTGCCAGTGTTAGGTCTAACTTTTTTATAGTTATTCTCTTTTAGCTTACTTATTTTCATTTTTACTGATTTATCATGCTTATATCTTGTTGCTGTTCTATTAGACACTGCATTTACTCTGAGGTCATTGTGTTTCTAAGCACAAGAGTTTCTATAGGGATTAATAAAAGTTCTATCTTATTAAGATATTCTAGAGCTAAACTCATATGTAAAGGTTTGCCTTGTGACATTTCTTTTTTTTTTTGGCAAACTCTTGACTTACACTAGGGTTGCTAGTTTTAGCTGTAGTGAAATTAGTTCATCTGTCTTAAGTGTGCCAGTGATATAACCTTTATTTTCAAGAGGTGTAATGCATGATTGTAATGACAGATGGAACAGATTCTGGGTTATTTATAAAACATTCAGTGCTATACCCCCAGGCCTAACGATAGCAATGTTGCTCAACCAAATGTGAGTGCATGATTTATTTTTTTTTTTTTTCAAGCAGTGATTTTTCAAACTGTCTTAACTTGTAGTCGTCTCCTTGATTTTTTTTTTTTGTAGGATGGCGCCTGTCTTGGTGCTCTGGCTGGCTGTGTGCCTCGCTGGGACGTGGGCTGTGGACAGGGGCAACTTCAAGACCTGTGATCAGAGTGCCTTCTGCAAGTGAGTGCAAGATGGAAAAATAATACACTTACTTAAAGTTAGTGTTTCCAAAGCACACAGCTGCAAATTTTTAACTTTTTTCCACTCTGGGGATTAAATTTTAAACAGGCGTCAGCGGGCATTGAAGCCTGGTGAGTCTCCTTATCGAGCCCTGCTGGAGACCATGGAGCTGACCAACACCAGACTCACCCTGCAGCTCATCAATGACAACAACAAGGTAGCTCTCACAAAGAGAAGCAGTTCACATTGGGGCGAGTTGGGTTTCCAGCGGTATTCAGCACATTACCCTCTTTCAAACTTCCCTCAATTTTCTAAATGAATATTTTTGTTCCTTGTTAAATGTTGACATGCTGTCATCACAACCAGATCATCACGGTATCAAAATGCCTAATATGGTGAAACTATGTGCAATCCTTAAGAATGTGGCCCGTGGCTGAACCCATTTACTGACTCTACTGTGGTGTTTATGAGAAAATACAGTAAGGTTAAAAGAAAAGAATAATAAAATAAGGTTTGCTCTCCCTTTCCTCCCCTCTTCCCGCTCCTTCTGTGTTTGGCTCTCAGGTGCGGCTGCTCCTCGAGCTCTACCGTCTCCAGGGAAACATAACTAGGGTGAAGATTAACGAGCTGAAGCCGCTGAAACCTCGCTATGAGGTCCCAGATGTGCTCATCAGGGAGCCGCCTACTGAGCCGTGAGTGTCCCTTGACAGTTTCTGACTGTGTTGGTGTGGGTGGGTTTGAGGTTTTGATATTAGAGTCAAACTGAAAAGGCAACATCGGTGGGAACGATTCTTCTTATAATGGGTGTTTTGTTTAAATGGACAGAGTGGCAAAAAGACGTAATGATGATGTTAACCTTTTTTAGAGAAGACATTGTTATATGCCACAGTAGGAGGAGGTGTAAATAATATAGTCCATGATGCTGAATTAATACTAGTAACACTTTCTGATGAGGATAAGTCAGTGTCTGGCATCACAAAGGCTTGTTAAGTTAAAAAAACAAACAAACAGTGATATAGTGATCTGAATTAGGCATTGCCTAATAGAGCTCAAAGAAACTGTTGTTTCACCATTTAATGCTGAAGCAAAAGAAAACATCCACATGTTCCATTGTAGGTAGAGATTTGTATCCACGATGTGTAACTAGATGTGGCAGAAATGTGCGAGCTGAAACTCTAAATATAAATTCTTCCTGTGAAAGAGCCCACTTGGAAAAACTGGTCATAATAGATAATTGGCTTTGTCTTTCACAATCTAATTTACCTTTCCAGTGTTAAAGTTTGGATTTAATCGGGGAAACCTACAGTATTTATGAGTTTGAAGCAGATTAAAAAAAATGATGAACCTTCGGGGCGAAACAGTGACCACATACAGGAAAGGCAATCAGTCTGTGTTGTCTACTTGACAGAAATGTATGCATTTTGCAGTTATTCCTGAACTTTTCATAAATAAAAAATAAAAATGTGCTTGAGTAAATGAAACCCCAATTAACAAAACTGGTTCAAATTTTAAATTACTGTTTTTATTCTCAGTTCTTATCATTTTGCTGCTGGTAATTCAAAAATGTGTCTATGCAAAAATATATCCTGAGTTCCTGCCTTTACTTTTATCATCTTAACCAAATCCAATCTTTTCTTCTGTCTCTCCTTCTTCTCTCTGCTTCAGCCTGTCTCTCCTGTCTCAGGACGAGAACGGGGTGGTGTTGTCTCTGGGAGCGGAGTCCCAGAGGGTCATCATTAGCGCCCGGCCCTTCCGACTGGACATCATGGAGGGACGTGACGTGCTGATGTCGCTGAACTCGCGTGGCCTGCTGACCTTTGAGCACCTGAGGATGCGCAAGGACACGTGAGAAACCACGCATGCACACACGTTTACGAATACCAGCCCTCTCTTTTAATCCACGACCTCACTCAGTGGATGATTTCTATTTTTGTTCCCATGATATGGTTTGTTTTTTGAGTATTGTCTCTGACTCGTTGTTCTGTCCTCTTCTCCCTATCATCCTAGTTTCTCCTATAAAGTAACTAGCACAGTGGCTAGCGTGTGGGATAATGTCAAGAGGGTATTCTCTAGGTAAAGACCCTTAAGATTTGTAAGTGTGTATTCTGTTCCTTGTGCTAATGCTGCCAATAGTGACATAAAACGTAGGGAGTCCCATCGCACCAAGTACTGTATTTACCCTCCAAATAAATATGACTGAGAGAGCGAGGGTGTGGATGAGTGTGTGCATGGTGGTGTTTGATTCGATCTCGTATTAAGGGAGTCAGTAAAGCTCTGACTATTCTGTGATAGATTGATTTTTCTTTTTTTTTTAATTAAACGAATAAAAACACAGTTGTAATCATTAGAAAACACCAGAGGATTTTACTGTGGGGTAGCTGTAGCAAGTGATTTTCACTGTACACTAAATGTTTTGTCAGATCCGTGTCTGATTAATTAAATCATGCACCTCTAGTGTCACACCAGCAGCTCGTCTGATGAACTGATCTAACACTGCAACTGCATGACTGACTGGGTTTCTTGACCAGTTCTGTTGAATGGGAAAAAACAATAAAATAAAATTTGCTTAGTCTATGGTGAGCGCTTACTGCAGCAGTTGAAAATTTTGCTAGTTTGCACTGGTTTCAGGTGCAAATATAAGCACTGGACTTTTGTCTACACACAAATGTATTTAGTGGCCCTGCAATTTAGGTTTCAGGCAGCTCCCAAACCCAACAGCAACATCTCTCTTTGTGGTTATAGTTCAGTTTGTAGTTTTGCATTTTCTCGGTACAGTGCTACTTGGTCACCACTGCTTTCTGCATGTGCGCTGCTGCCAAAATTTGACTGCAGTTCAAGGTGTATGTGAAGGGTTTTTTGGTGCTACACCATGACCTGGATTACACCTTGGTATACGTTGGATCCGCTGGGTTGATTCTTCAAGGAGCCTTGTAGGTGTTACATACTGCAGCCTCTTGAACTCCTGTCCCATAATGCCTAGCTTGAAATAGCCACAAGGCAGGGAGTTGCTCAGTCCCGTTTGTCATTAAAGCCATTCAAGTCCCAGTAGATCATCGGTTAGTTGTCAGTGTGGAGTCAAGGGAGCGATCACCAACCTCCCCCGTTTGTGCGTCCTTTTTCCTTTGTTCATAGTTTAATTATCCCCCCATATATTGCCACTCATCACAAAATAGTACGAGTTTACCGAAGTGACACATTTTTCTTTTTGCCGTATCCCCTCCTCACCTCCTCCCTCCATTGTTTGTGGAACTGAGCAGTCAGGCAGACCCAGATGCTGAGAAGAAAGAAGAGGCTGATCCGGCAAACCAGGCCGAGGTACTACATAATAAAATACACTTACTTTTGCTCTTACTCTGTATTTAAATACACCATTTGTACATTTGGCCTTGATTTTTTTTTTTTTTTTGCGCTGTATGTTACATGATATGACTGTTTCCCTGTTTGCCTGCCAGACAACAAAAGAAGAGGAAGAGAAAGTAGAAGACGGGATGTGGGAGGAAACGTTTAAATCACACTCGGACAGCAAACCTAATGGTAGGTCCTGCTGCTATATATGTATACACAGTTATAGGTCATTTTAGCCAGTCCAGTCCTGACTCGATAGTCCGACACAAAATGTAAAACCTTCTTTTATGTCGGATAGCAAAGCTGTCAGATTGTCAAGACGGAGGTCGAGATACAAGGAGGGCTTGATGCTTGAAGGGTAATTTGTTGTTAATATTCTTTGTTTCTAGTTGTTATAATAACTAGTGTATTGTTAGAACACTGCGCATCGCTAGATTTCATGCCTAATTGACTGGCGCGCTTGTGCACAGCCCGTCGGTTGACATCAAAGGTAAATACGTTCAGGCAGCAGGCTGAAGTGACCCAAATCCGATTTTTTTATTTTTATTTATTTTCTCCTATGCGACCTGTATCTGAAATTGTCATGACAGTCTGAACAACACAGATCCAGTTAATGATGAATATCCGAATGTTCGGCGTGGTCGGGGGGACCACTTCCACGCCAGGGGAGCGCTCCGACGGGGTGGAATGCACAGGCAGTGCTTGGCTGCTGATGCCAGTTTAGTTAGCGGTCACACTTCTGTTTCCACCATCGGTGGCAGCGACGGCGGGGGAGTGGCAGATGTGCTCCACCGCCAACATCCGTGTTTACTTCCGTAAACACTGAGCACGCTTGCTGCATGTGACGTCGTCGTGTCCTCTTTTGCGCATGCGGGACACTATTAGGTCATATGATGTTCACACAGGAGGTCACATACAAGTCGCATTTAATTGGAAATGTGAACAAACTTGCAAAAAAATCGGATTTCACAAAAAAATCTGAATTGAGCATTAAGTCCTGCAGTCTGAACGTCGCCAATCTGTCAGACTGTTAAGTCAGATAATACCCGTTATCCTAACTTGTGACACAAAATGTTTACGTCGGAGTCAGAATCCAAGGCTGTCGATATGTTAAGGCTATTTTCCGTTTGTTTTTCCTAAAAACCTGTTGGATAGCAAGGTTTTCTGATTGTTAAGGGTCGGATTATCGAGTCACGACTGTATTTTTATATGTGCAAGTAAAGAGATTGTAACTGGTGATAATGTGCATCTGAAACCACTTTCACAATCATTTAATGAAAAAAAGATCAACTTTTTCCCCTGTAACTGATCATAGGATGTTTTTGCCCCTTAGGTCCATCTGCTATTAGTTTAGACTTCTCATTGCCGGGGGTCGAGCACGTCTACGGGATCCCAGAACACGCAGACACCCTCAGACTGAAAACAACAGAGTAAGCCCAACCACAGGTCACATTTAACACATAAAATGGCTTTAAATTTACATGTATCCTAACTTTTCTTCCACTTTGCACAGATTTTATGCATGTGTGTATTTGTGTGTTCCAGGAATGGAGATCCATATCGGCTCTATAACCTGGATGTGTTCCAGTATGAGTTATATAACCCCATGGCCTTGTATGGGGCTGTCCCAGTTATGTTGGCCCACAACACCCAGCGGACCACAGGTATCTTCTGGTTCAATGCTGCAGAAACCTGGGTAGACATAAGCTCCAACACAGCTGGAAAGGTAGGTTTAATTTTATTAAAAAAATGTTTCCAAAGCAACTAGTCTTAGTTGTTGGGCCACGGTGACCGTCTGCAGCACAAAATCACATCTTTTTATTGTCGCTCTCCAGACTGTGTTTGGGAAAATGCTCGATTATGTTCAGGGCTCCAGTGAGACACCACAGACTGATGTGCGTTGGATCTCTGAAAGCGGCATCATCGATGTGTTCTTAATGCTGGGACCAACTCCCAAAGATGTCTTCTCTCAGTATGCCTCTCTTACAGGTAGGAAGACAGATGAATGGCCATTTAAATTAACTGTGTTTTCCAGGTTTTCTTAGGAGTCAGTGAATAGCACTGTGAGCCTCGTGACCTATGTCACCTGCTGAGTTTTCCACTAGTTTAGGTAGATGGACAAGTACCACTTGCCTCCTTGTAGCACATATTCTTAATAGAAAAGGTTAACGTTATAAAATTCAAGAAAAATGTTAAAAATGGAAATTCTTTGATTTACTTTGTGGCTTGTTTGATTTAGTCAAGTGTGTGAAGTAAAATGTTGATAAACTACAACAAACTGATAATTTAGCAACAACTGGTTTTACTTTGTTTTTCATGGCTATGAATTAAGTCATAAATGCTAAATGTTAGTCCACTCGCTGAAACCATGATAATATTTATAAATGTGCTTTAGTTTACTTAAATAAGCACTAGAGTGACAGCAATACATTATTATTTTAGTTAATCTTTTATTAATAAATTCATTAAAAATAAAGCCGTTTTAAAGAAAAGAATTCCTAAATCCACTGAAATTTTTGCTTGTAGGTAATTGTGAACAGAATTTAATTAACATAAGATCTATCTTGATTAGAGTCTTCAACATGAAGGCGTTTACCTAAGAGTCCTTAAATTCGGGGAAAATCTCAGTCAGTTCACCTGGGAATGATCAAAGATAGAGGCAGCATCAGTTGATCCTTTGAATTAATTTAGTCAGGTTTAGTCTTTAACCTGTGCCTCATACCAGTGAAATAATCAGCTTTTGACTGACCTCTGTGTCATCTTTTCTCCACAAATCAGGTACCCAGTCCTTCCCTCCCTTGGCCTCCTTGGGCTACCACCAGTGCCGCTGGAACTACAACGACCAGGAAGATGTGCGGTCAGTGGATGCAGGCTTTGACGAGCATGACATCCCCTATGACTTCATCTGGCTTGATATCGAGCACACAGATGGGAAGCGCTACTTCACCTGGGATCCTCACAAGTTTGCAACACCAAAGGACATGCTGCAGGGTCTCCAGGACAAGAAACGCAAGGTACTGATGAAAAACAATTTGGTATCACTGTTCCAGCACACACTGTTAGGTGCTCAGCTTCTTGCTAGAAATTCTCCAATGTCTCTTCTGTTGCTGAGTGTCTCACTTTCTGTAAAATCTTAGTAAATTAACACCAACTGCCTTCTTTAATTGCTTTTCTTAATATAGCTGGTGGCCATTGTGGACCCTCATATCAAAGTAGATAGCAACTACAAGATCCATAATGAAATCCGCTCCCGGGGTTTCTATGTCAAGAATAAAGATGGTGGAGACTACGAGGGCTGGTGCTGGCCTGGTAAGAGACTAACAATTTTACATCAGTTAACCGGAGATGTAAATGCATTCGAATGTGCTTTATGGACTTTACTAAGAAACGATAAATATTTCTCACATCTCCTTCTGTCGTTCCTCCTCTGCCTCCTTGGACTGGATGATGAATTTTAGGAAGTGCCAGCTATCCAGACTTTTTCCGTGCAGACATGAGGGCCTGGTGGGCCAGCATGTTCGCCTACGATCAGTATGAGGTGAGTCTCGAGAAAACTGTCATTTATGTATAACTACATATGCAAGTGAGATACTGAAGATTTAGCATGTCAGCTCTGCAGCTTTTCTGTGCCTACTCTTATTTAGAACCTTTACTTAATTCAGCCACAAGCTCTTTTTAAGTACTATAGTCAGTCTGATCTTTAAGGTTAAATTCAGTGTTTATATTCTTCAGGGATCCATGGAGAACATGTACACATGGAATGACATGAATGAGCCGTCGGTTTTCAATGGACCAGAGGTCACCATGCACAAGGATGCAGTGCACGGAGCCTGGGAGCACCGTGATGTGCACAACTTGTATGGGCTCTATGTGGTGAGTGCATACCATTTGACCACAACTCACTGACAAAATGTTATTGTGAACAGGTAAAATACTGAATTTGTCAACCAAAATGTGCTTCAAATTATTTGGTTTTTATGTTCTATAGCAAATGGCCACATCGGAGGGTTTGATCCAGAGGTCTGGAGGAGTTGAGCGACCATTTGTCCTGACCAGGGCTTTCTTTGCTGGCTCACAGCGCTACGGTGAGGTCTTTACTGCCTCTACTTCCCCGGCCACGTGCAAGTCTAGTAATGTAGACGTGGCTTTAAACACTAAACAAATAACCTTTGCTGTTTGCGTTTGGTGTTGGCCTGTCATGGAAATATTGCCATGACTTGTATCATCTTTAAATAAGGAAACAAACACATTGCTGGGTTATTGATAAATTAAATATTGTATACAGTATTTAATTTACCAACAACTTGTTGTACAACAGACATGTCTCACATTGCTATAAGCATCAGTCAACCTGTAACGCTCATACACATTTAACTTTGTTGCTCTGAAAATGATTAATCATATGAAAGTTAATCATAAATAGAAGATGAGGATAGTGTAAGATAAATAAGTTATTGCATAAGTGCTTACAATTGATTTTTACTTTCTCAGGCCAGACAAAGCTGCACTTTCTTTGTCCAGTCTGAACTGTGAAAGTGCTTCATGTAATTGATTGTCCAGCACAGTTGCACATCCAAGACTCCACAGTACAAAATAATGTGTGCTGACATTCCTTTCCCGTTTCAAGCAAACCATTCTCGATTTCTTGGCAAGTTTAATCATAGTAATTTGCTCGTTACTAGTGTTGAAGAAATTTTACCCATAGTCCTCATGTAAAGTTGCTGCAGTGGGGTGTTTATTAGTATTCCGGTATACGGTGGGCTTTCCAATACAGAGCATGACTCTGTAATGGTAAACCGACCGAGAACATTTGCAGTGTCACATCTTTTATAGGGTATGTCAGAGGGTAGGGAGGGCCCGTATGTAAATACCATAGTGAATAGTGGTCAGTTGGCATATAGTTGCTAAGTAATGACAGGAGGTAAGAGAACAATGAACAAAAGGTGATGGAATTAAAGGGTCTGGTGACCATCAAAAGAAAAGAGAATTACTTTCTTCATCATCATCAAAATAAGAGTGACTTTCTTCATCACTAGTAATGACACTTAAATGTAGTTTACTATTGGGAATGCATTACACTATGGGTAGGAAATTGACTGTTGTTGTGTTAGAGGTTTTTTGTAGTGCAGGATCTTATATGTTAAAGTATGATTTCGTGTTTGCAGGTGCGGTGTGGACAGGAGATAACGCTGCTGAATGGGACCATCTGAAGATATCTATCCCCATGTGTCTGAGTATGGGCCTGGTTGGACTGTCTTTCTGTGGTGGTGAGTAGAATCATCTTTAGTAATTTTGTCCCTCTGGTAAAAATACCAGTTTCTTTAATATTCAGAGAACTACTAAAATGTTTTATGGTTGGCTTTTAAATCAGGTTTTTTGTTTATCATTGTTTTGCAGTTCTGAAGTATTTTAATGATGACTTACTTCAGAATACTATTTGCACTACGTGGAATTTAACTCGTATTTGCTGCAAATTTATTAAAACAAACATTTACAACTACATCGAAACTGTGGTTCCACATGGTCATACCTGTTAAAAGAGTTCAGAATGTGGACCTATTTCTCATTATGTTTCAGTTTCTCAAAAACTTTTAACAAGTAAACTCTCAAACAAGACACTGAAATGGAAGAAGAACAGAGGCAGTTGGCTAAACATCTGTACACTGTTATCAATCTTCATGTCTGGGTTGTGTCAGCAGCTTTAAAAGTATAACCAATCTTTATTTAAAAGCATTCTGCAGCCTTTTAAAAGGTTAGTTGGCCCCCAACCTGATAATGAGCTGCCACAGAGTTGCACATAACTTTATTTCAGTAGAGCAGCACTGTGATACTGCTTTGCTTTTGTAAGAAACAAAAATCATCTGTTAAAATCAGTAATCTGAAAATAATTTGACTTGGACTGACATCTCCCTGCCTGTAGTGTTTTGTAATGTTGTCATGGAAATGTGCATGAGGTTGCCATGGTGAGAGCTCAGATTCCCTGGGTAAATTAGCTGCAGTTATATTTAACAGTCCTATGGTCTGACATATTGTTCAGAGTATTATGTTTATGTTCATGAGCACATCAGGTGTTTCGTGTAATTGCAGTTTTATCAGCTTTATTTAACACAAAAGTTCCAGTGTCACCCATAAGCTCCAAAAATAGAAAGTCACAAGAGGTTTGTTGTTTCTGGCTGTGTTGTTTCCCCAAGAGGTGTAGAGGCTATAAAAGGCTCTGCGTAGCACAGGCTTCACGAACATATCACCCCCAATCCTTTTCCTCTGTCTCATAGCTGACATCGGCGGCTTCTTCAAATCTCCAAGCACTGAGCTGCTGGTGCGTTGGTACCAGGCGGGGGCTTACCAACCATTCTTTAGGGCCCACGCCCACCTGGATACGCCCCGCCGTGAGCCCTGGCTTTTTGGTCCAGAAAACACAGCACTGATCCGTGAAGTTGTGCGCCAGCGCTACACTCTCCTGCCCTACTGGTACCAGCAGTTCTACCACGCACACCGCACTGGAGAGCCCATCATGAGGTGAGGACGGAGCCGGAGGCATCTTTTGTGTCTTACACTTTATCCTACCACAACAAAACCAGTTACAAAAGGGGATGTCCCGATCCTTTTTTTTTTTTTTTTTTTAGTCATTTAATATGTTGTGTCTGCCAATTCAAATCTGATACCATTGTCCTAGATAATGCACACTATAGGTGTGTTAAAGTTAGTAAAAGCAACCTATTATATATGCTTGACAACTAAATAGCTCCGCAATGCTTTTAGAGCATCAGCCTCACATGCTCTAGTACCTGGTTGTGCCACTAGGTGGAACCCCTTATTATTTAACACTGTAGCAGACTTCAAGTAATTCAGTATTGGCAAGCCGAGACCACTATATGCATTTTGCTAGCAATAGGCACCATGACAGCAACTTCTATGACGCTTAATGTCCTCATCCAGAGCTATTATGCTTTAAATAATGTGGTACAACATAAGCACTCTCATTCTGACAGCGTGCAACAGCAAGTGTTTGCACTTAGGAGAGAGTGGATACTGATAATCCCAAGATTTGCCCAGATCCCGAGCTATGGGATTGGCTTGCTACTATGCTAGTTAAAAACAATTCTAGACTCGATTAAGCATCTGCTAACAAATAGTGAGGTGTGTGTTAACACAAAGAAATGGAAAGTCAAAACACTGTATCTAATCTGCATTTTAGTTTTCTATCACATCCATGTGCACAAAAATACAATGTATTGGTGATTTGAGTTTACTGCAGATTTTTGATAATATGGTTTGATAATACTGTGAAATGTGCATCTCTGTTGCAGACCACTGTGGGTGGAGTATCCTCAGGATCCTGCTACTTTTGCTGTGGATGACGAGTACTTGATCGGTAAGACAAAAAAAAAAAAAAGTGTCAACAGATTCACAAAGTGTTCTCATTAATTGATTCTAGTTAGAAATGTTCCTATTAACAGTGATTCAGCTGAATGTGCAGCTCCCCTCTGTTTCAGGTCATTTTTCTAGCTGCCTGCCCCACAGCCTTACTGCTTTGGTTCACAATCACCTCTTCAGTGTCCTCATTTTTGGCCCCAGCAGGCAGCTGGAGGCTCTTAGACCCACTGTACACTACCTGCTCAGCTCAATTTAGCAGACAAGCTGCTGAAAGTAGCCAAGAATGTAGAACTATTGGATTTGATTCTAACTGAATTGTGTGTTGCGTCATATCTAAACAAGTGCTGGATGTGAAAATAAGAAACAGCTTACTAATGTGTTCGCTGTGCCAACATGGAGGGTGAGGATATGTCATATTGTTTGTGCTGCCATCAAGTGGTCAAAATTATGCGTGATTGCAGGTTTTTTTAAAAATCCATGTCTGATGGTCAGTTATTGATCAGGTTAATGCCGAATGTCTGCAGCTCAGTTGTCCAAACTGTTGTGATTAATGATTGTATGTGTTGGGTGTGGCTCTCCTCTGTTTGGCATTGCATCAGCCAAAGTACATGAGCACAAACTAAAATCAGAGTTTGAATTCAGTTGTTCCAGTAAGGCAGACGTGTTTAAAAAGTGTTATCAGTTCCCCTGATGTTACTTAACTTTGCTGCAGGGCGAGACTTGCTGGTGCACCCAGTTACTGAGGAGGGAGCCAGGGGAGTCACCGCCTACCTGCCTGGTAAAGACGAGGTGAGAGCAAGGCTTTTACACATGCTACACTTGTCTTTGACATCTTCAGATCATCTTGTCCTAACCTACATGTTGTGTTCTCAGGTCTGGTTTGATGTCCACACCTTCCAGAAGCACAACGGAGCTCAGAACCTGTACATCCCTGTCACCATGAGCTCTGTAAGACTGACACAACAATGCAGACATTACCAAGCTAATGATGTATTGAAAAACAAACTGTTACTTTTCTCTCTTGCTTGATCACCTTGCGTCTGTTTTGTGTTGATTTGCATTTAATATCGACAATTTCAGACCCCTCCACATTCTTTGTTACCGTTTCTGATTTTTGTGTAATATGGAGCCTTGTGCTTTTAGATTCCTGTGTTCCAACGTGGCGGCTCCATAATTCCCAGGAAGCTTCGAGTTCGCAGGTCCTCCACCTGCATGGAACACGACCCCTACACTCTATTTGTGGCTCTTAATCCCCAGGTAACCGAGCCGTTCATTCTCTGCTGGCAGCTGAAAGACACAACTGTGGTCTACTGTTATTTTGACATGTTGAATGGCAAGTGGGATTGTGAAAGCTGATGTTTGAACCTTTTTGTCTGACAGAGAACTGCAGAGGGGGAGATCTACATAGATGACGGCCACACTTTTAACTACGAAAAGAAGGAATTCATCCACAGGAGGCTGTCATTTGCCAACAACCTCCTCTCTTCTGTGTAAGTGACTAATGCTATTTCAGTTACCTGCAACTCTTTGTGCAAAAATGAACACTCAGGCTCTCAAATGAAACAACAGAAGACTTTATCTGTCGCTTTTTTTGTTTGTTTCACTTTTAAAGTATGAAATTTGGGGGAACCGTTGATGATTTGCAGACCTGCTTTGTAACTTCTGTATTGTTTAAGTGGTTAAATATTAAATCCATGTTTCTGTCTGGTTCACAGTAACCTCGCTCCCGATGCCCAGTTTACTACCCGCTCCTGGATTGAACGTGTTGTCATACTGGGAGCCAGTAAACCCAGCAAGGTTACCCTTAAGACTACCGGTGAGTGTTTTACGTTCCTTTCACGTGAGCTTGAATCATCGTAAGTTGCCACCTATACACTGACAGGCTACATACTTCAAACTAGATAGTTTGATAGTGAAAAGACATTACTCTTGTACAATAGAATAAATCTCCAGTCATTTAAAGTTATGTGTGTTGTATGTTTTGTTTTACGCTTTCAGCCTTCCAGATGCCGCCTTAAGAAATGTCTAGATGTAGACATCCCATTGAATAAGATATTCTGTTAAGCTAACTGAGATATTGAGCTTTGGAAGCTATAAATCTTTTTTTGAGATTCACTGACCTTTTTTTTTTTAAAAAAAAAAACAAAACAACAACAACAAAAACCTCTTTTCCTTTTTGCAGATGGACAGGTGAGCCAGGTGGAGTTCGACTTTGATGCCTCCATGTCTGTTCTGACGCTCCGCAAGCCCGGCATGAACGCAGGGGCAGACTGGACCGTGATGCTTCAGTAACCACGGCGACGGGAGAGGAGGAGCAGGAGGGGGGGGAAAAAATGACTGAACGGGAGGGGAGGGAGAGAGGAGGAAACAAACACAAGGCGCTAATTCCCAAGACTAACTAAAGCAGGACAACACGATAGCTAACATGGAGAATAATGAACACACATAATAATTATACATGGTTTTAATCCACACACACACACACACACACACACACACACACACACACCTACTTGGTTTTCCATCCGGTCTGCTTCAGAAGAATGATCACTGTGGGGGGTTGTTTGCCATTTAAAATGAAGGTTCACATTCAAAGCTCCACCTGCTGATGATCCCCTCTTTCTGTTTTCTGACTTGATTCTCTACAAAAATTCATTCCATTCCTCCAAGCACTTAAATCGACTCATAGCTCGGCCTCCTTTAACCGTGCCACGTTTTCGTGTCCAGGGAGGGCTCGCCAACAGTCTTCTCTGTGGTTCTGCAGTAAGTTTTCATGTTTCGTAATTTTAATGACGCCACAAAAAGTAAAGAAACCTTTTTTTGCTCTTACCAATCCTGGCCAGCTCATTCTTATGCAGTCTTTCCCTGAATTCCTCAGTACTGAATTTGTGTGCGTTGAAGTGATTCATAATCATGGCTTCATATTGGAAGTGATCAGGTCGTTCAACTGCTGCACAGAGAGGGGATTTTCAGCTGTTGTTTTGAACAAACTTGGCAATGGGAATCACTTCAGGGGATTGAACCACTGACAAGTTTGTGGATCATCCGGTTGACGTGCTTTCTTTGTTTTATCAAGTTATTTTTCCATCGTTGTTTACTAGATTATTTTTAATGCACTTGAGGAAAAAAAGTTGTTTAGATTTTCATGTGTTACTAGATATCGGGACAATCCAGAATTTCCACTGTGTTGTTTGGAACTTAACAAACAGGTCGGCTCTAATCTTTGAAGCTTTCTTACTTGTACAAACATCTGTCCTAAATGTACACTGAGCAGTGATAAACACTGAGTTGATTCTCTGGAGAGTGGTTCGTGTCCTGACTAGTCTAATCATCTGACCTTTTTTTAGGAGTTTTGTTCTGTGAGTTTGTGTGTTTGATTGTTTTTATGATCATAAATGTACATGTTGCTGCATTTTTGTTGGTGATGGCTTGAACTGGTGGCAATGGAAGTGAAGCATCGGACTTCAGCTGTCAATCAAAGTTGTCAGATGTACTTTAAAAGATGAGACCAAGTAAAAATAAAATTGACCAAATGTGAAAAAATACCTGCTTTTAATTGAATCAAGATGGTTCTTATTATGATGAGACATTGGGATTTTTTTGTTTGTATGTATTTTTTTGTTTTTTCTTTTTTGGCAAACTGGAATTATATTAATATCTGCTTGGGTCTGCTTCACATAACAGGTGGAGCATCACTTCAAAGCAATTTGTTATACTTTGGTGTGCAGCATGTTAAGAAAATCAAACCAAAAATATGTGTATTTTAACTTTTTATTAAACAACATTCAAGAAAAGCAGTAAATATACACTAATCATAAATCTGCGCTACAGAACTGCACACGTTTGTCCACTCACAACAAACCTATTAACTTAATGCCATTTTATCAGAGCATATTTCCAGCTTTAGCCCTGCAAGTCCCACATTTTCAAATTAAATGAATCACTTTTCGCCATCTTTAAAAAGAATATATATATATATTTACATCGTAGGTTGTACTGTTTAGCCTCACAATGCTGTTGGATAGTAGATGGGTATACAAGTCAGGCAATCAGGACGTGAACCTGCAAACCTTAAGTCAAGCTCATGTTTTACTGATTAGGTTAGTTGCTAGTGTACTAAAAAATCCTGATTTTAAACTTGTGATAAAAGTCTGGCAACAAAAAAAAAAGAGAAAGTACTTCTAAACATGAGCAAATGTGTCCATGTTTTATTAGTTCATTAGTTCAGTGCAAATACGTGTTTCTTTTTCTTGAAACAATGATAAAGTGCGGGTCATACCGTCTCAGGTGGAGTATTTTATGCTGCTCTATTTTCGGTGTCTTGTCGCGCCTGGATGACGTCAGCCAGACGTTTCCATCATGGCGGCGGAGGGATGTGAGGAGATGAGCGGCAACGGGGAGCTCGAAGAGTCTTCAGGTAGTTTGATTAACGATAATGAATCTGCAGCTTACAGTCGGGTGTCGTTTTGCAGATTTTGCTGAGCTTTGGTTTTACCTGCAAGTGTTCTGAATAAATCCTCCGATCGGACCCATTTGAAGGAAACATGACAAGCTAAGCTAAGCTAACGTGATTTCAACTACACACAGCAAGAAACGGCGCAGTCTCCTTGTAACTAACTTTAACTAACTTATTTGACAGTGTTTTACTCAGTGGTCGGTCGCTGCTGCTCACCTTTAGTCATAAATTAGTAGAAGAATGCTCCCAACAGCCCAGAGGTGCTGCAGACTGTGTGTCTAAACTCAGCACCCAGAGCTCTTAATGAATGAAACAAACCTCTGCAGGCAGGTCTTTCTTTTTTAAGAGCAAAATCCTTAGTGTAATGTATTTGTTGTTTTGTCGGACGTTTTAGTGACTGTTGACACATCAGCTGCAGACAGTGTTTTTGTTTTTTTTTTATTTCCATGTTTTGTAACTAGTTTGACAGCTGAGTGTCATCTTTGAAGTTTTAGATTTTAGACAACCAGTCACTCCTCGTTGTACTTGGCTGATTTAAAATAAGGGTTATTTCTTCTTTTATTCGTCATGCATTATAGTAAACTTGCACAAATGCATGATTGTTGGTACTGTACTATTGCAACACCTGAGGGCCCTTTACCATGAAATTGTTGACAAAGCAGTAGAACATGAATGACATCATGTCACATCCATTTGAAGGGTCAGTGCACTTTTCTAAGTCGTCTCCTTTTTCTTGTTTTTATATTGCACCAAGAAAGACAGCAAAAAATGACAACACACTTCAGTGTTTAAAGATAAAGATAAAGATAACTTTATTGATCCCACAGTAGGGAAAGTTCACTGTTCTCTGTACATTTGACAGGATTGTGAAATGAGTGATTTTTGGGGTAGAAATGTTGCAGAATGCAGTAAGAAAAAACAAAACCGTGACACAGCAGACTGAGGTACTTCAGGTAATTGCTTCACTCTTTGGCATTTAGTGTTGAAAAACCTGTATTATGTTGAAACTTGTTTTTTTTTTTTCATTCCTTTATTGTTCAGTCACAAGAAGTCCACTAGGGTTACAGGTGATTGTGATTATTTCTTTCTTTCTTTCCTATTAATATTATCCATCCATCCATTATCTATACACCGCTTAATCCTCACCAGGGTCACGGGGGGCTGGAGTCTATCCCAGCTGAGTAAGGGGACACCCTGGACAGGTCGCCAGTCTATCACAGGGCTACACTTAGAGACAGACAACCAAACACACTCACACCTACGGACAATTTAGAATCACCAGTTAACCTCAGCATGTTTTTGGACTGTGTGGGAGGAAGCCGGAGAACCCGGAGAGAACCCACGCTGCACGGGGAGAACATGCAAACTCCTCTATTAAGATTATGGTGTAATATTTTTTTAAGAATGAAAGTTTTAAAAAAAGGGAAAAATCTCAATCTTGCATGCACGTACACCTACACTGACATACATACATACATTAAATAAAAAGAGCATTGATTAAATCTCATGAAAAAGGTGCATTCTGGGTATGTTTCTATGTGTATTTGTTCTCCTAAAATCTACCTCTCCTCCTCTGTAAATTATTTAAGTGAAGCTAATTTCATGAGTTTAGTTTGTAGCCTCATATGTTATGCACCTAACCAGCATCTTTTATACTCTGTCTCGTCTTTTCAAACTCCATAGGTTAGTCTCTCCATCTCTGAAATTCCCTGTACATTTACTTTCCATTTAGGAAGTGTTGGACATAGTTTTTGATTCAGTAGCTGTCAGGTATTTATCTAGAATATAGATTTAGAATTTAGGCTGTGATATGCTTGTGCAGCCTGTGTTTGTCTAGTCAGACGTGATCAGAAGTGCTAAAATAACTGGTGCAGTTCGTCGTTTGACAGAGAATGAATCCGCACCAACAACAAAAGAGTTTCACGAGTTAAAGTGTACGAGTTGAAGATTTTATTAAGCAAACCTGCCCAACATTAAGAGTTTTTAGCATCTCATATGAAGTAATTCTCTTTCCTGTTTTATTTTATTTAAGAATCTAAACCTGTGATATTTTTTCTTTATTTCTTTTGATGAGGTAATTAAGCATTTCACACTGGCTTCCAGCACCTTGTGATGTTCTCACTGCATTCTGAAATTTTATAAATTAAACAACAAAAAAATGACTATAAATAATAGACGGATGAGGCAATTGTGTAAAGAAATATTTGTTGCAGCAATTCAGTCAGTACTATGTTCTTCATCCAGTAGTGTGTGTGATGCATTTCAATTTCATGGATCTGTATTGAGTTAAGGAGAACTGCTGGTCAGTCAAATTCAAAATCAGGGTTCATTTACGAAAGGTGGACCCACGTCATGGGTTTATGAAAAATGTTTAGCATGAAAAGCAGCAAATAGTGACTTTTATTTTTGTTATTGGAGGTTTAAATTTCATCTTCTCCTCTTTCAGCCATGGACGCCTCTGAGGTTCCACCACCACCACCACCGCCGCCGCCTCCGACTGAGATCTCAGAGATGTCAGAAGAGAACGGCAGTGCCGCCGTGGTCCCTGAGGCTCCTGTAGGCCCCGACCCCTCTTCCTTCTCCATGCCTCCAGCTGCAGAGGACGAGGAGGGGGAACTACCTGCGGACTTTGAGCGTCTGTGGAAAGCTGCTCACGACAATCCTCAAGACTTCACCAGCTGGACCGATCTGCTGCAATACTGCGAACAAGAGGTTTGTTGTTTTGACTAGACAGAGAAAGAAAGTACACATTTGCATCTCAGACTTTTAAAATATTGGCTTCTAGTGTCCCCATTAGACCAGAAAACAGTGTTTGGTCAGAAAGCCTGTTGTAGCTTCATATAACATGAGTTTATCTCACCTCCTCAGAGTCACATCACAGCTTCACGCAGATCACTAGAGGCCTTCCTCATTCGCTATCCGCTCTGCTACGGCTACTGGAAGAAATTTGCTGATCTGGAGCGCCGCGCAGGATACAACGACAAAGCAGAGGAGGTACAGCAGGAGAGAGTTCACAGTTCTGACTGTGATCTCGTCCACACTTATATGAATCGTTTTCTATTAGGAAAGTGTTTTTCATTGTTTATTTTATAACATAATTGTTGTGTTGTGTTAGGTGTGTATTCAGGGTCTTCAGGTCATCCCTCTGAGTGTAGATCTATGGATTCACTACATCAATCTGCTGCTGGGAACACTGGACATGAACCTGCCCGAGTCGCCAAAGCGGATTCGCAGGTAAACAAACGCCCTCACACACATTTATGACTGAACATAAACTTCTTTCTTTTTTTGTACAAAGCAGCTGATTGATTTTGAGTCCTTATACATCCAAAATTTGTGTTTGTAGCTGCACTGTTTGTTTGGCGACGTTTACAATAAATGAGATTCTTTAGCTCTGACCACATTACCATTTCAAGATTCAGGAGTTTTTATTCACCACATGCTCTTACAGTATGTGCAGTGAAATGAGAGGTGACTGTTCTCAAGGCTGTGCAATAACATTTTAAAAAGAACAGTTCTTCAAAAATAATTGAAAATTACAAAAAGATACGATGTCATATTATTATTATCCATCCATCCATTTTCTATACACCGCTTAATCCTCAT